ACAGTAGCAGCAAATGGCAGGATAATTTTAGACTTTTAAGGATGACGAGGATATCTGTTCATTCATAACAGTACCTGGTATTTTCATTGTGCTTTTCCACAAAGGGCTTCACACACTGAAAAAAAAAGGTCTCATTTCTCTTTAAAAAATCTCAGTGACAAGAGCTTCAGTTCATTATGGATCGATACAACAGAAGCCTTCCTATTGTCATTCTTCCCAGCTGTCCTTTGAGGTAACTGGAGACTCAATTTATCAACTGACTAATGAAGTATGGTTGGTTATACTATTGTAGGAAAACTGATGATGTAGGAAAGAAGACGCTTTATTCATAGGAAGATTTTATGATAAAGATTTATAGATGTAGAAAGGGGCTGAGATAGGTCTGTGAGGCTGTGATTTATGGTACTTCTTTAAAGGAATAAGGAACTAGAGATACTGTTAGTGTCCTTCCCAACCATGTATCCCCTTCCCATAGAGTTGGATCCTGTGACCCTTGGTAACTAAGGTAGTGGAGGCTTGGAGCATATGACCCAGCTGGGTTGGTTAGAGCCTTGCTCCAGAAATTTGGAATTGGAGCACAGCAAAAACTGAAAAGAGGACAGGAACCAAGATTATTTCCATCCTCTCACCACTAGCTACCCTCCTGGGACCATGGGGTTTTCCTGAGAAGCTCTAAGTTGGTTCAAAAACGCAGCCTCAATGAAAAACAACCTAAACATTTATCAACAGGGGACTGATTAAAGCATAGGCCATCTATGTCATGGATTACTATGCCACAGTGTGAAAAGAACGGAACGTTTTATGAACTGATTATTCCCAAGAATGATCTCCAAGACATATTCTTAAGAGAAGAATGCAAACTACAGGATAAGAGTGATAATCCATCACCATTTGTATAACAAGAAAGGAAAAATATAACATATACTTAGACCATTTATATTTAATATAATTATTATGTTAGGGCTTAAGTCTACCATTTTATTATTTGTTTTCTATTTTCTCAATTTCTCACTCCTCCATTTCTCCTTTCTTGTCTTCTTGTGGATTATTTGAACATTTTTAAGGATTCCATCTTGATTTACTTGTAGTGTTTTGGTGTGTAATGCTTTGTATAGTCTCTAAGTGGTTGAGTGTGTGTGTGTGTGTGTGTGTGTGTGTGTATTCACACACACACACACACACACACACACACATAATGTATCACAGTCTACTGATATCAGCGTTTTGCCAATTTGAGTGAAGTGCAGAAACATGACTCCCATTTAGGTCCTATTATCCTCCCCACTTTTAAATATTAATTGTCTTGAGTATCAGATGATGTTATAATTTTTATAAAAGTCATCATGTAATTTGGAAAACTCATGAAGATAGTCTATTGTATTTACCCATATTTCTGCATTCTTTCCTTATCATTTTCTTTCTTTTGAAGAACATCTTTTAGTGAAGAGTAGGTCTGCTAATGATGAATTCTTTTGGTTTTTCCCTTGTCTGAGCATGTCTTTATTTCCTCTTAATTCCTGAAATGTCGTTTCATCAGACAGAGAATTCACAGTTGATAGTTCTTTTCTTTTAGCACTTGAAAAATGTTGTCTTAGTTCTTTCTGGCCTCTGTTGTTTCAGATGAAAAATCTGCTGTCATTTGAATTGTTTTTCTTGTACAGATAATGTATTGTTTTTCCACCTGCTTTCAAGGTATTTTCTTTGTCTTTAGTTTTCAGAAGTTTAATTACGGTGTGTCTTGGCATGGATTTCTTTAGATTTACCCTATTTGTTATTCACTCAGCTTCTTGATTTGTAGGTTTATAGATTTTGCTGAATTTGGGGAATGTTTAATCATTATTTCTTTGAATATTCTTTCCATCCCACTCTCTCCTTCCCTTCTAAGACTCCAATGCTATAAATATTAGATCTTTTGTTATAGTCACACAGGTTCCTGAGGCTCTGTTTTCAGTTTATTTTCTCTTTGTTGGTCAGAGTTCATTCCAATGATCTTTCCTCAACCTCGCTGATTCTGTCCTCAGTCATCTCTACTCTACTACAGAGCTCATCCAGTTAGTTGTAGTATTTGTTATTTTCAGTTCTATAATTTCTATTTGGCTCTTTTTTATAACTTTTATTTCTTTGATGAAATTTTTATTTTTTATTTGTTTGAAAGGAATTTGTAATTGCTTGTTGAATCTTTTATATGATAGTTACTTTAAAATACCAGATAAATTCAATAAAATACCAGATAAATTCAGTGTGGGAGTCAGATGATTGATTATCTTACTCATGCAAGTTGTGACTTTATTTGTTCTTTGTACAAGGAATGATTTTTATGTGAACATTTTAGCTATTGTGTTAGGAGACTCTTGGTCCTATTTATATATTTTTTATTTTAACAGGCAGCCACTTTGAGTTTAACATGCAGTTTTTAGCTTACTTTTGTGGCCTGCAGTTCCATTGAAAATCTAATTTTCAGAGCCTGTATGGTGCTGTTTTGATCAGCTTGGTTTGTCTCCTGCATCTGAGGCTGCCACTGGCACTTTTGGTACTAGCTGAACGAGTGAGGGGAGCATCTCTGGACTGGGTTGTCTGGTGCCTTTAGGTATGGGAAGGGAATCTCCAGGCTGCAGACATGAAAAACACATCCTAGGCTGGGTGTTTGTTGTGGCAGAATCCGCCTTGTTAATATCTGCTGTCAAGTAGGTAGGGTCCCTGGGTGAGAGAGGGAGGTCTCGGGGTGGTGGGAAAGTCCTCTGGCTGGTTCTTGTTAAGGGGGATGTTCAATTGGTCCCCTTTGCTCTTTCTTCTGGGCTTGTCTAGAGTTGTTAGCAGGACTCCAGTTCAATTTAGAGGAAGAATAAGACTACCTACATACTTTCCATTGCTAGAGTGGGTATCAGGAAAGGCTAGCGCAGATAATCTTCTCTTGGGTGGGGAGGCATAAGATGCCCAGCCACCGTGTTGTTCCCTTGGTACTGTGGTACCTAACCAATTCATCTCCTCTTTCTACCTTTCAGGGTTCTCTTATGTTATTTCTAAGGCTTTTAGTCATGCTTAGCAGGGAGGACCAGAGAAAGACAAAACTATACCATCTTGTCCAGACCAGAACGTCTGTATATATGCCTATATAGGTATAAGATCTCTCTAGAGAGGTATGCAAGGAACTGCTTTCCCTAGGGAGGGAAGCTGGGGAATATGAGATAGGAGAGAGACTTTTTTTGTGTACCCGTTTATATGATCTTATTTTAATCAGGTGAATATATTATCTATTCAAAAATAAAAATAAAATATAAAAGAAGAAAAAAAGTCTTCTAACTCAGCCTTGTTTTAAGAGCACAACCAAGGATTACAATAGAGGTCAAGCAGCGTATGGATTCAACAGTTGGTAATTTTATTAAATTTCACTGACTTTTAATTTCACTGTATTTCGACTGCTTTGATCCAGATCTCTGAATATAAGAATAATATTCTCAGTGGATTTTCAGCCTGCTCATACACTTCGAATAATTTGCAGAATACAAATGTGTAATTTAGATAGAAATAGATGCTTTTGGCAGCATACTAGTACCCTAATCAGCTGAAAAAATAATATTTGTTTGACATTAAAACAAAATTAATAGCAAGACGCTGATTACATGAAAAGACTTTAGGTTGTAATTATTAAACTTGCAAACAACTCAGCATAATTAGTGACTTAATTAGGATATGACCTGAAATTTTAGCTTAAAAAATTAATAAAGGCAATTAAAAGTCACATTTGTAAAGTGGGTTTTAAAACTTACAAGATAGTTAAATTTCACTTTTTTCTTATTTTGGGGAGCATCTTTGTAGGTATTAAGTTTACAGTGCAAGTACTTTGATTCCCAGCCCTCACTCCTAGCACAATGCCTCATCCTGAAGTCAAATTTAGTGACCCCCAATCAAAGACATGCACCCACAGGAGGCTGAGGAGCTCCCAGGCACACTCGTAAATAGCTCTAGGGCACAATAAAATAGCAAAGACTCTTTGTCTCCCCAGTGCCATAAGTGGAATATAAACTAGATGGTACATATTGATTCTTATCAGACTCTACCATTTTCACAGAACTATTTGGGTCCAAATGGCAGTTTTCACCACTGTCATTTATACTCTAACACATGCTTCTTGAATGCATTTTGGGTCCCACAGTTTACCACATGGTAAAATTTCTAATCCAAAGCCAAAGAATTTTTTATCAGTAGATAAAAATGAATAATTTAATGAATTTTGGTGAGCTAGTGATTTAGGAAAAAATAAATCTGGATTCCTAACTTTATTCCTCATGTCAAAATAAACTTCATAGGGATCAAAAATTTAATGTAAAAAATGTAAAATCATAAATGTACTAGAAGATATGGGTTAATATTTTTATAAGATTGTTATCAGGACAGGCTTTTTAACCATGACAGATGAAGCAGAAGTGAAAGATGGAGAATGTAGATGAATCCAATTTTCTTTTAAAATGTCTTATCTAGACAGAAAAAAAAAAAACTAGAAGGAAAAATATCAATGATAATTATCACTAGAGATAGAATTATGGATAAATGTTATTGTTTTCATTTTTAGTAATTTCCAATTTTTCTATAAAAAGTAAATTATTTTAGTACTCAGTCTTATTTAAAAAAACTCTTTGGAATTTTCAAGAAAAAAATATTTCAGTTTTCCCCCCAAATAGCTAACTAGATGAAAGATCAAAATCGAAGACTTAAAAAGTATAGCATAGAATATCCTCTCCCTCTTTCTCCTGCCTCTCTCTCTCACTGCAGGCTGCTGCACTTCCCTAAGGCCCAGCATCACAAGACAGTTCTTTCATAAAATTGGTGCTGTGCCTCTCTATCCCTAACGGCCTGTGTTACAGAACAGGGAACATGAGTTCCAAAACTCTGACTTCCTGGTCCTATCAGGATGCTTACATCTTTAGTTGGAGGCACATGCCAATCACAAAATAACTATCACTAGTACCATAGGAAATGTCATGATTAAACTTCCTCTGTACCTGTAGGTTTTCTTAATTTCTTCATTTGATGCTCCCTTATGCAGACCAAGAATTTCATATAGAGCTTCTCCAGATGTTGACATTGTCCGCTGTCTTTGGTTAGGTATGTTACGTGCCATTTTCTTAGGCTGCAAAACCAAAGAGGGTAAATAGCCATGAAGGTTATGCATACTGGATCCCACTCTCTAAAGAAGAAGGTAGTTCATTTCCAACCTTTGTAAAATGACAATCTGAAGTACATTTTTGTGCTAGTTGCAAGGGAGAGGATAAAAGACTTAGGACTGCCCAAAGTAGAGCCTCTAGTCAGGGTATTAAAGGCTACAGGCAGCCATGCAAATGCATATGGCTTTGTCCAAATGGTTAAATGGAAGCAAGTTGTTATCTAAATACTCAGCTAATTCAGAATTGTTGAGAAACATCCCTCACAGGTCAGGCATATGTAGATTTCTTTTTGTCAGAAATAATAATAACTACTTTTTTTAATGTTTTCCAAAATTAGCCAGCAATGGAAATAATCATCCACCTCACCTTTACTCTATTGGCCTCACCTTGTTAGAGCAAGAGTTTAAAAAAAATAAAAACAAAGCAACTTTTTGTAAGTATCAAGGAAAAAACACCCTGGTCTCATCTGGGAGTCAGTTTAAAACTTCTCTATCTGAGAAGTTTGCTATGTGATGCCAGAGGCTCCCACAGTGCTCATGGGTTGGAATATTGGCCTTTCTATGAACTTTCTCTATCATTTTGGAGATAAAAATGTGCCTAAACACATGTAGTTATTCCAAGAATTAAATGAATTAATATATTAAAACAAAACTGGACACCTTTGTTCATGGCAACATTATTCATAAAGGCCAAAGGGATTGGAAACAACCCAAATGTCCATCAACAGATGAATGAAAATGTGGTATGTGCATAGAATAAAATGTAATGTTTTTCAGCCATTAAAAGGATGGAATTCTGACACAAAAGGACAAATATTATATGATTCCTCTTATATGAGGTACCTTGAGTAGGCAAAGTCACAGAGACAGAAAGTAGAATGGAGGTTACCAGCGGGTAGGGTTGGTGTGGGGGGGATAGGGAGTTATTGCTTAATAGGTCCAGACTTTCTGTTTGGGATGATGAAAAAATTTTGGAAATAGATATTGGTGATGGTTAAATATCATAGTGTACTTAATGCCACTGGATTGTACACTTTAAAAAAAAGTTAAAACGGTAAATTTTATGTTATATTTTATCACAAAACCAAAACAAGAAAAAAACATAAAAACTACTTAGATTGCCAGCTCCTCCAATCAGTAGTTCCTTAAAAATCATCATCCATCTCTTCGCTCTGGGCTCTGTGTACCAGGGCTCAGGAGATGGTGTCAGAGCTGTGGAAACTTTCATGTTCAATGTAAGAAATCCGTGTATAGTGACAGTGGTGGCCTCAGCAGAGCCCAATAGGCACGTCCCAGCGTCAGGTGGCTCGGTTGGAGCCAACTTCCTAGCTCTGCTCCCACCAGGCTAAGGACCAAACTAACACAGTCAAGAGCGGACCCACCAAATGATGTCTGGAAGATTAGGATGATCTTAGAGGCCCCTGAGACCCCAACATTGTACAGTGAGTGCTTGTAGCCTTAAGGAATTCAATTAAGAAGAACAACGTGAAGACCTTCAAACTGTTTTTGTAAGCTTTTAGCTTCTTTAGGGGAGAAAAGGAAGCCAGTACTGAAGAAAGTCAGACCCCAGCCCTGAAGATGCTGAGGACAAAAATGGCCTACCTGAGGGTGTGACTGTGGCATGACTCCATTGTACTCTACTCAGCCTCCCATGTATGTGGGGCCCCTGAAGGCCAAAGGAGCCCTAGTCCCAAATCCCTGGTTCACATAACGGCAAGAGGAGAGAAAAATCCTGATTTTCTTTCCACAAAGCAAAATCTAACAGACGTCCACACTGACTGGCAGCCCTCTCAGTAAATTGTAGCACTTATTTTCATGACTGCTGTATCTTACCTGTCTCACTTACCCATCACAATTTCCCTAGGGAGTAAGCAATTAAAGGCTTGGGGCTATCTCACTCATCCCTGTGTTCCAGTCCCGCATCTCGGCCCTGTCTTGGAACCACAGTCCAGCTGACTATTCACAACTGAAGAAAAAATTGCCTGAGTAACTGACATCCTCTACTTTCTTTCCTGTCCTGCTGCCACCACACAAACATAGGCTCAGGATATTGATGCTCTATCTCGCATACCCACCTAATAGTTCCCAGTAATGAAGGCAATCAGCCAACTTCTCACAAATCATACTGTATGCCAAGAATGAATGGGATTTGGAAAGTAAGGATTTTTGTGGATTGGTGGACAAGGAACAGGGCCATTGTCATCATGCTTCTCTCTCTGAGATTTTAAGGTCTTGCTTGATAGCAAGATCCCCAGAGTCACTAAGAATATATCAACATAAGTATTCAAATTCTAAAACTGTAAAATATGGAATTAGAAGTCATCTAAGCCAAATTAACAGATGCCTTCTGGGGCATTCTGGCCAGAGATCATTGTAGTAAACAACTTTACTATTAGCCTATTAGGTGCCCCTTGTCTGGGGAATTCCTAAGTCCCTACTGCAACATATGCTTTTCCTGAGACCTGCCTCTCACTCTTATATCTCAGTTGAGTAGACCAGGAGTGAGTAGCTGACCCAAACCAGACCACTCAGAGCCCTTCCCTAGGATTTTTTTTTTTTTCCTGATATTCAATAATCTCACGGATGGTAAAACCTGTAAAAAATGTAAAATTTGGGTATTGTCAGCTAGCTTAAAATGAGAGAGATTGAAACTGACTCACAGAAGAGCAGTATAGAGCCCCAGTGGGAGTCCAGTCCCCTGGTCCCCTGGAACTCTTCCCCTCCCACAGTTTGTCAATTAACCTTCCCTTGGAGTGAGCCAGTAAAATTTCTCCCCATATACAAACTTATACAATTTTTTTTTTCTTTTGAGCATATTATCTAGATTTTGGTGACTGTCAACCAAGACTCCTCAGTGTCATGTGCTCTCTCAATTAAATACCAGTAATGGTTTGATGGACACCTCTGAGCCAGGCTAATAACCCATTGTAAGTTTTTCTCAAATAACTGCGCCTACTCTTCCTCTAAATTGAATGTGGCGTCCAGGTACTTGGGAATGAATAGTTCAGGAAAATAACAATGATATACTAAGAGAGTCAAACCAAACAGATTCAGAAATATTGTATACACATTACTAGTATGGATAAAAGGAGCAGTGATAAATCTGGGTCAGGAAGCTTTCATAAAGAAAGCCTAAAGATAACTTATTCAAAAGAAAACTAAGAAGAAATAAAAGTATGGCAAATAGTTACTTTTCCTTTATTTTTCTATATGTTCAGCATTCAAAAGAAACAGCTTCAATTTGAGGGGAAAAAATGTATTCACTCTCCATCATCTGTCTTATGAAATAAGACATGTCATGGTTCCCATAAATCAACAGATAGTCTTAAAATCAATTCTAACAAGGTACAGACATGCACAATTTCCACTGTTGTGAGCATTGCGCTCTGTGACCAGCTTTGATTTCTTCTTGAGTCTTGCTGTCTCTAATCCAGGAAAAATTTATAGGTTTCTGAAGATAATCAGCTAAACAGATTATAACACCCATAGCAGACAATTCAATTATTTATTCAAAGTATTTATTCAAATACCTGCAATGCAGTCCAGGTCTTTAGGGAGATTGCAGATTAATATGGGATACAAACTGAAAGCCAGTAATGAAACTAGTGTTCAGGGGTTAAAAGAATACTGAATATAGAGGTCAAACAGAACAAGAAGGAATCTTCTGGTGGACAAGAATTCAGCTTTGTGCCACCACAGAACCTAGGATTGTGCCTGGCACATGCTAGGTATGTGATAAATGTGTATTGGGTAACTAAATGAAAAACAAGTAGTTAACCTGAGTGAGGATGTTAGGGAGAACTTTACAGAAAAGATGATATCTGAGCTGACAATAATACTACCACTTATTTCTGTAGAACTTGGCTACATTTTTCTATTATGGCCCTTATATCTAAGCCTAACCTTGGGTCTGCATGGACTTGTAACTCTAGCCAGTAACTCTCTTGATCCTCTGTTTACATACATAACATCAAAGAAGACTTCTGGGTTTGGGGACTGAAAGATAAGGGAAGACATTTTGACAGTTTGACTGGGACATTTTTTTTTTCAAGGCTACCTCCTTCAAAGTTATCCCAGGTCTGGGACAAGGGAGATGGGGTCAGTTGGTGACTACCCCTAACCCCTTCCCAAATAGTGCTAGAAACAGCCTGGGGTTCATCCTTCCCTATCCATGGCCATCTGTCTGCACACTCCTCTCCTAGTGGAAAAAAGGAAGGCAAATTCCATCTCTCAAATAATTTCATACATAGAAATTCACAGCCAAGGACACATGATATCTGTCTGTTCCTTTGGTTTATGTACTTTTTCAAATCATCTCTGCAATTATAAATCTAATCTTACTGGAATCCATACCTCCTAAGTGCAGTCTGGTAGCTGACTTGCTTTATGGTGTGGATTGAACAGTAGTCAGAATGGATTGTTATAGTTTGGAAATCGCTTACCGTCTGTTTCATCTTCTTTGCCCTATTCCCCAAAGATTTCCTTTCAGACAGATGTCTTCTAATTAAGGTACCAAAAAAAACCCAAACCAAAACCAAACCCCATTTATATCAATGTTGGAACACAAGTTAGAGGACTTGGTCAATGTGGTTAGTAGTTAGCTGACTCTACAAACTGAAACATAAATGAACCAAAAGATGGCAAGGTTGCTTTCTGTGCATCAAGCAGCAACGACCTGCTACTTTTTCTGTTTCCTTGCTGAGCTAGAAACCAGATTCTTCATAAATTATTGATGTGGACAACATTTAGTTTCAAATTCAATAGAGCAATACATTGAAACCTTAGTTGTTTCAATGTGTGAAAATTAAGATATTATGCCCTGAGAATGCACTAACTATAGAGTAGTAGTAAAAACATCCCCTAAAAACTCTCCTTAAATAACCTTAAGTAATGATTTCATACCCTTACTTAATTCCTTATATAAAATATAATTTTTATTAATCCTTTTTCTGTAGGCTTTTGAATTCTAATATTCTTATGTAAAATTCAAGTCTTTATTATTTATTCATACTCCCTCATCTATAAGCTATCCAATGGAGAAAAAATGTTGTCATGCAAAGTTATTAAGTAATTTAATTTTGATCATCCAGTACATGATACTTAATCTTCTGAACTTAAATTACTTTCTAGGTGCATTACAAGCCATTAATATCATAATTTCTTAAAGCACTAATCACTGTATAGTCACTACCAAACCACATACAGCTTACCTGTCCCTTGATAATAGGTATAATTGAAAGAAAGTTCAGCACTCGTATGATGATGGGTATCAGATTCAAAATAAACACATATTTTACACTTGAAACCTATTTGATTTTATTAACAAATGTCACCCCAATTTTAATAAAAATGGAGAGAAAAATAAACACATTTTAAAGGTTCTAATTCCAGGAGTCCTACAAATACTGTTCTAAAATTTTTATGTTGACATGAAATGTTCCTTTCAAACCAAAAGAAGCTTCGTCTATATTTATTATGTGAATTCTGAAAAATGGAGAAATTCAAACTATGCCTTTCTTGGAAGAGTCCCTCCATGGCTGAGAAAAGAAGTATTGACAGGGGAGATTAGATCATTAAACACTTTTGATGGCTGGAATTGGGGAAACCAACATGCTTTACCATTTTGTTATTCTGTAATTCCTCCATAGGAATCTATTTATTGAAGCAAAATCTCCTTATATTGTATCTTAACCCTTTTCCCATTTAGAAAAAAAAGTACAGCTTGCTGCCAGCATTAAAGCCAAACACGCATCTAAAATGCTAATTCTGTATTTTAAAGTAATAATTCTTCCTAGCATGATTATTTATTTGCTATTGAAAAGTTATTATCTCTTAATTGCTCTGATACTTATATAAACAGCAACCTGAAGACAGGCAACTCAGAAATGTTACACATAACTCACAGTACCTGTTCCTGTAACTCCGATTCTGTATTCTCAGTCAGGAACAACTTGCCATTTTTAACTTGTCTGGAAACAGATGTGCAAAGAAATAAAGGAAGGCAACAAGGAAAGGAGCTGTTCTATACCTGTTCCACTCTTTCAAAGCAAATGGCTGCTCCTTTCCATCATTCCCATGAGGAGTTAAGCAGGTCAATGGAGTCAAGTTACTTTTCATTTGTTACTCTATCAGCCAATTGGTTATCCCTCTGGAACATATAACAAAGAGAGAATAAAACATGCATGAACGTAAAGGTTACCACTGCAAGGCACCCAGTGATACCAAAATACATGCTACCTCTAATTTGCTCATCAGTCAACGGGTGCTTGGCTACCATGGAACTGCCTCCAGGTTTCCACCGGAACTTTCAATTAAGAAAATATGCTAATCTCTTGACATGCAAAGTGAATTCTTTTAATTTTTTTATTGAGGTATAATTGACAAAACATATTAGTTTCGGATGTACAACATAATGATTAATACCTGTATATATTGCTAAATGATCACCACAATAAATCTAGTTAATATCCATCACCACAGTTACAAAATTTTTTTTCTTGTGATGCAGACTTTTAAGATCTACTATCACAGCAACTTTCAAATATGCAATATACTAGTATTAACTGTAGTCAGCATGCTGTACTTCATTCACATCCTTATAACTTATTTACAACTGGAAGTTTGTACCTTTTGACCTCCTTCACCCATTTCTCCCACCCCTCAGCCTCCATCTCTGGCAATCACCAATCTGATCTCTGTATCTATGTTTGTTTTGTTTTGTTTTGTTTTGTTTTTTACTATTATTCTACATATAAAAAGGATGATATGGTTTTTGTCTTTCTCTGTCTGATATCACTTAGCATAATATCCTCAAGGCCCATTCATGTTGTCATAAATGGCAAGATTTCCTTCTTGCCATTTCCTTCTTTATGGCTGAATGATATTTCATCTATAAATATATCTCACACATTTTTCTTTATCTGTTCATCCATTGATAGACACTTAGGTTGTTCTCATATCTTGGCTATTATAAATAATGCTGCAATGAACATAAAGGTGAATATATTTTTTCAAATTAGTGTTTTTGTTTTTCTTTGGATAAATACCCAGAGGTAGAATTGCTGGATCATATGGTAGTTTTATTTTTAGTTTTTGGGTAACCTTCTTACTGTTTTCCATAGTGGCTGCATCAATTTGCATTCCCACCAACAATGCACGAAGGGTTCTATTTTCTGTACATCCTCACCAACACTTGTTATTTCTTATCTTCTCCATAACAATCATCCTCCTAGGTGTGAGGTGATATCTCATTGTGGTTTTGATTTGCATTTCCCTGATGATTAATGATGTTGAGCACCTTTTCATGTACCTTTTGGCCATCTGTGTATCTTCTTTGGAAAAAAAAATGTTTATTCAGGTTCTTTGCCCATGTTTTAATCAATTGTTGTTGTTTTGCTATTGACTTGTATGAGTTCTTTATATATTTTGAATATTAACACCTTATCATATATATGATTTGCAAATATTTTCTTGCCTTTTCATTTTGTTGATGGTTCCTTTTCCATGCAGAATCCTTTTAATTTCATGTAGTCCTAGTTCTTTATTTTTGCTTTAGTTGCCTTTGCTTTTGGTGTCAAATCCAAAATATCACAAAGTCCAATATCAAGAAACTTACTGCCTCTGTTTTCTTCTAGGAATTTTATGGTTTCAGGTCTTACATTCAAATCTTTAATCCATTTCGAGTTGATTTTTGTGTCTAGTCTAAGATAGGGGTCCAGTTTCATTTTTTCACATTGGCTGTCCAGTTTTCCCAGCATCATTTATTGAAGTGATTGTCCTTTCCTCATTGTATATTCTTGGTTCCTTTGTCATAAATTAATTGGCTACACAAATGAAGCTTTAATTCTGGGTTCTCTATTCTGTTTCATTGATCTGTGTGTCTGTTTTTAATGCTGTTTTGATTACTGTAGCTTTGTAATATAGTTTGAAACCAGGGAGTATGATACTTCCTGCTTTGTTGCTCTTTCTCAACATTGCTTTGGCTATTCAAGATCAAAGTGGGTTCTTTTAAATTTTACTTTTTTTTTTTTTTTAAGTCTAAGGCTAGTACTGATCAATTGCTTTAAAATTACTGGAATGGCAATGTAACAATTAATAAGGGGAAACTGTAATTGCTCATTACATAATTCAGCTAGTTTTATCTCTGAACATTTTACCCTAATCTTAGTCAAGAGAGACTGAGCCACAGTGGTGACCGAGGTGATTTTAAGAATTAAGGGATGTATTGTTAAAACAATGCTCAAACTCTCATATACAATAAAAGGTCAAGGTTACATGAGAGAATAGTTTCTGTGGTTTCCAGTAAGATCCTACAGACTGAAAAAGTCGTAAACCAAATGAGACAGGTGTTACTCTGAATCTGATACAATGAGGTATGACTCATGAGGCTGAAAGCAGAGTTTAAGTGTGCTGCTTAGCATGACTGGTAGCGAAGCCTAGGCTTTTTGTGTGAACATTTTAGAGCATTCTAGTCTCTAGATGGCATTGGGGTTTTTTTGAATATAAAGGAATAAAAGGCTATTTCTCATAGATGCTGATTTTCGCCAGAGGTCAGGAAGAGCCCATGCAGAGAAATAGGGGAAAGGGGAAACTAAAGACATTTAGGACTAAATACTCAAGTTCCAGCATCACTTCAGCTTAAAGACAATGTCCTTTGATGAAATGAAAATAGTTGCTATAGTAATATGGTGAGATTATGGGTGACTTTTTAAAAAAATTACAATTTATGTTTAAAATTCAGTTTAATAAATATATTCAGTAAATTTTATTATTTTTGCACAATAACCACTCTCTTTAAATTATGCCTTTTTATTTTTTAAATATTGAACCAACCATGAGTTTTTCAATTTTTGAAGTATTGCAGAACTCTTAGGTGAAGTGGAACTGTAGTAATGTTTCAAAAAGAAAACAATTTCTTATTCATCTAGTCATTCAACAATTAGTCACCTACTAGATCCAGGTACTGGGCTAAATGCTAGAAATATATTGGTAAACAAAACCAAACACAGACTCGGTTTTGTGGGTCACAGAGTTATAGCCTACCAAGAGAGACAGATATTAATCAAATGATTGATTATGCAAATAAGTATAAAAGTGAGATTTTGAAGAGATGCTACAAGACCATGTAAATCAGTGGAATAGAGGGAGATCAGAGAAAGCTTCCCTGAACAAAATAATCAATCAGAAATCTGGAAAGAACTGGACGAAGGGGTTGCTGGTAAAAGAATTATTCTAGGCAGGTAAAAGAGCATGTTCAATGGCCCTTTTTGCTTAAATTAGGGAGAAAAAGAGATATGCTGACATGTGCTCTTCTACAGAGTACATAGGATGTCAACACATGCCTATACATATATGGCTTCTAAATATACATGTCCTCTAAAGTATATAGCCAGAGATTAATGGGACCAAATTCCACTAAAAAGGTGAGGCTTTCTAGAAGTAAGCTTCAATGGTGTTTGTAAAAGGAAATAACTCATGATAAGCACATAAATTATTCCTTGATGCAAAATGCACTAAATGTATTATGAAATCATTTCCAGTTAAATCATTTATGTGTGAAAAGGATAACTTAGAAGATATTCTAAGATTAAAACAAACTGGTTTTTCTATGAGGTAGAAAATTGGAGAATGATGTGCATGTCTGTGTGTGGGGCGGCGGGTGGTGGTGGTTACATGCTAATTTTCCCTGGGTATTACATTTATGGAGTCTTCATTATTCCTTTAGGTACTCCTAGAAACCTCTTATGTACCTCCCTCAATCACTGCAGAGGGTCAGGGTTATTGTAAGAAATAACTGGTACATCAGCACAGAATCTGCAGCAGGTACTAGATAAATTTGAATATTCAACCAAAATAATCTAAAAATCGTAAACATTAGGGTACATATTCTTTAATTGAAACTTCATATCTCAGCAAGTACAAATACCACCCATTATGAACATGTGATGGGCAAGGACACATGCCCCAACAAATAAACCCTAACCAGCCCAACACAATGAACAGATGTTATTATTACTATCGCTGTTATTGTTTTTATTACCCCTCTGCATTGTTTATATTATTATTATTACAATATATGGAATTTAGGCCATCACTTTGTAAATTTCAAAGGGAAGAGTCCTCTGGGCAAGCTTCATTCTATTAAGTGAATTTAGAAAGGAAAAGGACTTGTGATTGCTTTGATTGTAAAATGAAAGCTTGTTGGCTACCACTTCAGCAGCATCTCAGGAGCAACTACAGAACAATTCTCCCAATTCTTTTGTAAAATCAAGTGTTTATATTTCAGAAGAGCAAATTGGTTAATTCCTATTACGTTTCATAATTTCCTGAAGTTAAAAAATGTCCCTTTTAATGAAAGTTACAAAGGGGATGGAATTTTAATGTGCTTAAACCTAGAACTATGAAGAAAGCAAAGAATTATAGAAAGCTAAGGGGGAAGCACTAGATGGGAAGAACTCTTTTTAGAGTCACTTGGAAAGATTTTAACAATTCTGATGCCTGGCCCCACCTAGATTATCTCAAAGCAAAGGGGTTATCCCAAAGCAAAATTTTGCAGAATGGGCCAGGCTCAGGCATTTTTAGGGTTCTGGATGGTTCTAAAAAGCTTCCCAGGTTGAGAGCCACTGTTGACCACATCCCTTGTTCACTAGATCTGAGAAGCAGAGAGCTCTTCAGCTAGTTAACATGGAAAACGCCTGCCAAGCAAGCAGTTCTCTGGAGGAATTTTCCATTGCCTGGGTTTCCTAAGAAAACATTTACTGAAGATAATGACATCCATGTGATTAAATACAAAGTAAAATTTGGCTTCACATAGTTTAACTCAAGAAGGAATATCCAAAAACAACATGCCTATTTCTTAGACTCTAGGCAAGTCACTGTAAGCTTGTGTCTTCTCTGTAAAACAGTAATAAAATAGGAACTCTTTTTTATCTGTCAGACCTTGTGTCAGATGTCTAGTACAATGTGCGAAGAATGATACTAGGAACTTTTATAAACACAGATCTAAGGAGTGTTCTCTAGGGTTGGGGTTTGAGCAGTTGTAAAGTAATTACTCTCTGTGCACAGAGAGTTGGAACAGTGTACTAGAAGTGCTTTAAGAATTGAAGGTGCAATTCAGTTCATCAGTAATGGTATACAGTGAATGGTAAT